CTATCTATCTATCTATCTATCTATCTATCTATCTATCTATCTATCTATCTATCTATCTATCTATCATGTTTATATAGCTGCCCATCTCACACAAAGTAACTCTGGGCAGTGTACAACAATTAAAAAGAATAAATACATAAACACAATTACAAATAAAAAAATATAAAAGCACACAAAACAGGAGGGCATAACATTAATAAGGGAGCCATCACCAAATCTCCCCGGTCCCCTGGGAGTCCCAGGCCTGATCCCATAGCCAGGTCTTGAGGGACTTGAGGAATGTTAAGCATAATTGTTCAGCATAATCCCCTCAACTGAGAAATAAACAAAAAATTAGGCTAGCAACAATTTAACTTGCAAGCGTGCTTATGTCTTAGTCTTTTCCAAAGCAATGTCCTCCAAATGTTGACTGGGAATGTTGGAAATTCCCAGAGAGCACTAGGTTGGGGGATACCAACATATATAGCCGCCATTTTTATGACAAATGTTCTGTGCTTTTGCTAATTGCACAGCAGAAATATGTCAGATGTAGCTCCTCTATCACTGTGCAGCCATGGAGGAGAAACTGCATTTCTACCTGTTACACATTTAAGATATAGAAACTCAAGTCAAAAAAGGTATTGCAGAATACTAAATGCAGGTTAGTTAAGTAAGCCAAAACCAAGAGTTTATATGGCATCTTTATGGAGCCAGTCAGATCCAAATAATTAATCAAACAATGAACACTCTAGCAAATTGTCACAATTCAAAGGAAAGGAACAATAATAGCGAATGGAGAAATCCAACATCATATTATTAATATTACGTTTAATATTATGTTTTTAATGAATAAAATAAAGCAGAAGAATCATGACAAAAAGAGTTTGTAATAATTATTAGACTGAAAAAGTTCTAAGAGTGCCTATGTATTCAGAAATATGTAGACTTGAATCCTATACATATTTTTTGGAGGATAAATGTAATTGTTCCTTGACTCAGAATCACAGAAATCATAGAAATCAATTGGATTGCACTATCAAATCAGTTTGGAAACTGACAGTGCCAACCTAAGTGTGTCCACCTCAGAGGTCATTCCCACTGAATTCACTTATCCAAGTCAAATGTGGAGGGGGCAGGGACGTATGTGGGTATGCTTGTTACTTACTTTAGAGCGGCGTTTCTCAACTTTGGTAACTTTAAGATACGTGGACTTCTGGGAGTTGAAGTCCACGTATCTCAAAAAGTCACCAAGGTTGAGAAACACTGCTTTAGAATATTTTAGTGCCACCCACACCCTTAATAGCTCAATGCATCATTAAAATGACAGAGATACAATTAAAGCAGATGGTAAGGCAAGATTAAATAATTAAAACAAACATGTTCAGTATATTTTGAGCCCCCTCCTAATGCGTAATGCTTCAAGCCCGAGGGCAGTTTGTTTTACAGTCGGGATCTCCCATGAAGAAAGCAGGATTAGCCAGAATCTCAAATGAATCCAGGAACGGACTTGCAAAAGATGCCCTGATAGCTGAAAAATATACAGGTCTGCTGACTGAAAGACTTACAGAGTGTTTTGGTTTGGATTACAGTCCCACCCTTTGCTCATTATTCCTTTGTAATGATCAAGATTAAGGAGCATCAGAGATCAGGTTTTTTTTTTTTTTAATTAGCAATTGGGAGGCGACCCCATTCTTTTCTTCTCCCTCAGCCCAGGGAGCAGCCTCCCGCACCTAGTCCTTCTCTTTTGAACAAAAACGGAGAAGTGGAGATTTAGAAGCACTGTGTGACCTCCCACTGATCCTTCCGCTATATTTATTTTATTTTTTGTCATCACAGAATAATGCTGCCACAGGCTGAAACAAAATGAAACTATTTTAAAGGAACCTAGAGTGTAAGGGTTCAGCAGTACTGGTTCTACTGACTCCACCAGAACAAATGAAGACATGGAGCCCAAGTGTCTGGAACAAATGGTGGTCCTACCAGCCTAGGGCTTCATGACTGATTCCAGGTTAGGGTCTAGAGATCAGATGGCTAGCACTTATAGCAAGAAGGATTTGGGGGGAAGATGTATAGTACATGCAGATATACTCATAGCTTTGGCCATTAGCTCTGCCTGCACAAAGTATGTAGATGGCATTGGAGAGTGTCCTCCAAAGATGTTGGACCTAACCTGTCTCGGGGATTAGGGGCACCGAACGTACAAATGATTCGAGAGCACCAGTTTGGGGAAGGCTTGAAACCAACCATTCTCGTATTAATCTTTCCTACTGCGTGGCGGGTTAATCCCGGATTCGTTGCGTGCGGACAAAAGGGTTCTTGGTGAAAAGGTTGAGGAAAGGGAGCATGACCAAGAACAGCCTCCGCCTGCCACTCCGGTAGAAGAATGGCGTTCAGCTGCGCGTCAGGAGCAAGAGCAGGGCACGGCGCTCACGGCGCACCTCCCGGAGCTAGCCAGGGGCGCCTCTCGTGCTAGAGATGCTTCCTACTTCCCACTACGAAACCTCGGAAAATCTCTTCGACCCTCCGCCGAAAAGAGCCACAGGCCAGCTCTGCCAACCTTGGGCCCGATCCCCCCAGGATAGCCCCACGCCCTGCCTTCTCTGTCCTCCAGCGCCTTGTCTTCGGGAACATCAGCAGCGCGGAGCCCTCGCTCTCCCGCTGGCCTCTCCTCTGATGCCCCCGCTTACCTGAGATGCCTCCTCCGATCACGATCACGTCGTACTTGTTGTCGTCGCTGCTCATGGTGGCTGGTCGTTGGCTCCGGCTCTAACCGTATGGTTGTTCCTGCAGCCGCAGAGGCTCCTCGCCGACTGCCACCCGGGCACAGTGACAGGAGCAGCCGTCCTGGCGAGCAACACACCCTTTCGCTCTGCTCAGCGGGGGGACTCCGCCCGCTGCTGGCAAAGGGCGGCCGAGTCTCGCTCAGCTGCGACTGCGCCTCTCCCGAGCGGACTGGGCGCCCGAAAGCCTTCGAGTCTCCCCTTTCGTTCGCCGGCGGCAGGGATATACGCCGCTGCCTACGGCTCGACCACCAGGCAGGAAATCAGTAGAGGAAACCGGCCGGACAAGCAGACAACGTGAAGACTTCACCTGTTGAATGTCTGCGTGCCCTGGCGCTGTTCATGGCGGAAACAAGTTCTTAAAATATCCCCTAGAGGAAAGGCGGGGGGCTGTTTCCATCCAAGGGCAAAACCGACCACTGGACTAACTCTTGCCAACAGTGCAGAGCAGGGATTCAGTCTCCTACATCCTTCTGTTACACTCACAGGTGCACACGTGCACACACTCCTTATCCATACAAAACGCCTCTGCATTGCTTTCCTTCACAACAAGCCTGTCAGTCCAATTTCTATCCAGTTATTTTCTGCTGTCAGTCTATTTTACCCCACTGACCATTGCTCAGGCATGCTTCCATTGAAATCCAATGGGCATTCAGCTTCATTTCCGTGTATTCATACTGAATGTAGGATTCTTTATGATACAATGAGTACTTTGCTTGATTTGACTCTCACAGAAACATGTTATTTAATTTATAATCTTTAGAAATGGCTTTTCCAAAACCTTAGAATGTTTTCATGTAGTAAACATTGGTATTAAATCCTAATAGCAAGATAATAATGGAAATAGTCATTTCTTTCCAAATTTTCAAAAGTAATTTAAACCTGTAGGACCACAATCCAGTTACCACCTACTGAACCACCAAAAATTATCCTCTGTTTTTGCTGATTTACAGTTGTTGTTGTTGTTGTTGTTATTTTCTGCTCCCTATCCATGACACATGACAGGAGATCATTTTCAAAGCTAAGGGGCAGGAAATAACCATTTTCTTTTTCTCTAAAGACAAGGTGTAACTGATGCTGAATATACCAACACTGGCAGTTGCATTCTTGAGACTGATTTTCACCTGCAGATCTCAGACTTAGGCACCTGTCTAATTTATTATTTGCTTCTTTCCCATTTCTGGATTTTTGCATCTTGCCCAATGAATAATTCTGGTGAACTTGAATGCTCATTTGTGACCATTTGGATAGCCCCATCCCCATTTTGGATTTTGGAAGATGCAACGCACTCTGCATATTTACTTGTAGGTAAAAAACAGAGCATAGGATTAGATAGTTAAGTGCCAGCTGCAATGTTCAAATTGAAAGACCCCTGGAAAATTTCAAAACTTTTTGCGGAGAGCAATGTGATAATAATAAACATGTTGTTGGAGTTCTACATTATCTAATTCAGGTATGATTTTAACTTTGCAAAGTTCTGATATTTGTTTATTTGTTTTAATTTGGAGGCTGCTGGACTTCTGATGATTATGGGCAGCTTACAGTTAAAAAGAAAAAAAGAAAGATTCACCAACAGCCTGAAGAACATACCCCAAAACCCTTCCAACAGGGACTTCATCATCAGTGGACCCCAAAGCCTGGTAAAACACTCAGATCTTCAACAGCTTCCTGAACATCATCAGGGTGGGAACCATCAAGGTCTCTGGAGAGATCTCATTCCATAAGACAGGTGCCAGGACAGAGAAGGCAGACTTCCTGGATCCTGCTAGTTTAATTGATGGAACCCAAAGCATGCCCACTCTGCCCAATCTCACCAGATGGACAGAAACAGCTGAAGACAGGTGGTTCTCACATAACCCAGCTCTACACCATGAGGGGCTTTATAGGTAATAACCAGCATCTTGAACTGCACTCAGAAGCCTACTGGTAATTAGTGCTGCTTGCAGAGCAGTGGTGTTCACATGGTTATAATGAGGCATGTCCATCACTCTCCATGCTGCCACATTCTGGATTACCTGTAGCTTCCAAGTGATCTTCAAGGGCAGCCCCATGATAAACTAAAAATTGTTCTCCCAAGAGGTTGCTCTCTACATTTTAATGTATGAGAATTCAGGCCTGTAAGTTTATAGTTGGCCCTTTAAACCCTATTAATTACTGCAAAATAATGTGAAACTATATGAATTAGGAAATCAGCTGTCATGATCCATCTCCCATTGATGCCGGTAAGATCTGAGAATTACCCTTCACACCCATCTTACCTAGATTTAATTTAGACCAGCACCAATTGTTTTATGATAGAGATGGCAGTTCCTGAGTGTTTAATGAGAGTTAGCATGCACATAAGCAAAGTGTTAGATGACATCCAAACTTGAATCACTTGTTACTTCACTAAGTAACTTCAGTGAGAACACTAAAGCAAAGCTAGCATTCTTCCAGTAGTTGTCTTCCACTAATATTGAGGGAGGGAAAAGAAACAACACAATTGCAAAACTAATTCAAATAGGGCCACAAGCTCAGTCAGAACTCATTTTCCCAGCTGCTCTCAAAGCAGTTATCTGACACTTCCAGGACTGTCTCAGTCTTACACCTCATTCTGAACCTGGTGGTAAAGAATAGAAGATAGATGGGGGCTTCTGGCAGAGGTATGATGAACCGAGAGCCAACAACCATGGTGAAGACCAAGGAACCAGTGAGTAGACTGGTTCCTTGATACTTCTCCAGATAAGAAGAGGACAGAAGATTGCTCACATGTGCTCTCTGTGAGGAGTCCACAGTGGCTTTACAACTGAGAGGCCAAGAGACTGATTTAGAAAAGGATGTTTCACTGGATCTACAAAAGAAACTGGCTGAGGTTTTAACATTTAAAAAGGAAATACAAATGATAAACCAAGAGAGTGACTTGAATAATGTTTTTCTACTGGATTTACAAAAGAGGCTTGTTAAAGCCTTGAAGAACTCTGTGTGATGGGACAGAGAAGAAATTAAGAGAAATCAAATCTTACGACAGTATTTGAATGAACTAAAGATTAAGACTGTTAGAAGTGAAAGGAAGGAATAATCAGTTGGTTTATTTGATCAAAGTTCAAATAAGATAGTTGTTACTTCTAGCTACCCCTTTTGGACTTTCTGCTGACACCAGGATTGAAAAGATTATGTTTTATGGATTTGCTTATAGATAAGAGATGGGATATGGGAAGAAGAGATGAATGTTTGTAACTTTAGAGAGGGTGAAGAGTTACTAAATTTATTTTTACTTCTTGTGATGAAGGTTGGAAATCACTTCTTTATATGTTTAATTTTTTTTATTATATTCTTATTTTTCTCTTTTCTCTTCTCTTTTTCTTTTTCTTTTTCTTTTTTCTTTTCTTTCTTTTTCCTTGTACTTTCTACTCCTCTCTATTTTCTTTTCTTTCTTTAACTTTAGTTTCTATTAGATTTTACTATTATATATATATACAAATAAACTTTGTATCAAATAAAACCAACAATGTCTAATGAGCATTGAAGGAAATAATCAAATCACTACCTTTTTTTCAAACAGAGGAATTTTACCCATGCAAGAGCCATTGATAATCCTAACCAGCTGCTCACCAATCTCTCCCAGGTGACTTTCTCAGTCACAAAACACAACACAACACAACATATAAATGTGATAGCTCTTGCACCACCATTATTGATGTAATCAGAGGAGAAAATGGTAGAATCCTATCCAATCAATTGCAACAAGGGCTTGATTCTGTTGTTGGTGTCCTCAGCAATGTAGAAACAGTCTAAGCTGGACCATATGTGAGTATTTAATCTACATTTATATTCCATGAGAAGCAGATAGTCCAGTGGACCAAGCTTGAAAATAATAAATCCTGCACCGTATGGAAAAGCTCGGTTGATATATCATGGCAAGAGCAAAAGAGAGAGGGAGAGAGAGAGGGAGGCATCATGATATTCTTGCATATTGTCCAAAGCATTTAGGAATCCTAAAGGGCTCCCAAAGAAGACCATTTACTTCTTCAAGCTAAGTTTGCAGACAGAAGGTTCCCAATTTTTTATTGTCTTCTCTAGATGGTGACCTGGTCATAATAACAATGGCCTTACTTTAGTGTCACCAATAACCACATCAATGAAATATAAATCCACAGTGACATGGATGGATAATACATACATATTTAGTTAACAAAGTGGAAACAAAATGCCATCCTTCTCCCTCCCTCCCTCTCTCTCTCTCTCTCTCTCTCTCATTTTCTTCAAATGAGTATGCTGAAAACAGATTGCTTTAATCTCTCAAGCATTTTCAGATCTGCCTTAATATAAGAAATTGGCAAGCCACAGACCTTGCTTTGTTATCAGCTGCCCTGGTGCTTAGCAACTATCTATTCCACTCCAAAGCATCCATTCTTAGGGTTGCTTCTTGTATTATCTTTTAAAGATACAGATACTCTTTTGCCAAAACAAGCAGCCATGCCTGCAGTATGGCAGAAGAAGGAGTCGACACTCCTATCAGTCTGAATAAAATTGTGATCAGAAGTGTCCCCACGAGATAGCGGGAACAGGTATTCTATATAAAGCCTGACTTGTAATTCTGTTCACATCTTTATGGTGCGACCAAATAATTATAAAATTGGCTGAAGCAACATCAGCAAAAGTAACCTGCTGGCCCAAGTTACTGTAGAACACAGGCAGAACAACAAAGAAAGAAGTCTTATCGCAGCTTAAACTGTTTATCTAGTTTTGTTCACAGAAATAGACAGTAAATATTTGTTCATCCATTTTTGTCTATTCTGATTAGAGTAGCTTTCTAGGATTTTGGATAGAGAGAAAAACACAGGACAGTGTGATATACTCAATTAGGCCATTGTCCCGTCTAGCTCAAACTGTCCATCTGAGTGGTAGCAACTGTTTGAGTTTCTAGATGAGGATCTTTCTTGGCTATACCTGGAGATGACAAGTGTTGAACCTGACATTCTGTTTTACAAATTGTGTGCCACACTCCCAAACTGCAACTATATTGCATAAAGTCTTCCATGTCATTCTTTTTTCTCTGCAGAAAAATACGATATTTTTAAACTAGGATTTTCTGTAAGCAAATTGTATTGCAATTAGTCTGGCT